TCCAGCCAACTCGGGTTCGATTCTTTCGACCCTCTCGGAGAGTCTGGCAAACTACTGAGAGTATCTCGCCTGCATGGCAAAGCCTGACAAGCTACCCGTGACTGTATTCGATATGCCAAACACAGTAACAAGTCTCACAATGAAAACGTTACTGGGCCCCCTAGAGCAAATTGATGAACAATGGGAAGACAGTGCTACAGTGCTATATCATGACTGAGTGAGATTATTCAGTATTTGTCCTTCTGTCTCTAGTTTATTTCACTCAGCCTGATACCCACCAATTCCACCCAAGTTGCTGCAGACTAAAGAACTTTCCTTTTTTCTTGTGGTTGCATAGTATTCCTTTGTGTCTATAGATCACACTTCTTGATCTATTGATCTGTTGGACAGTGGACAAAACAAGTGCCCTATCCACTGTACTATTGTTCTGGAGAGAATTAGGCAATTTTGCAGCTAATGCAGGGCCCTCCACTTTAAATGATTTGGTGTCGTGAGACAGAGTGAACGAGAGAGAGAGAGAGAGAGAGAGAGAGAGAGAGAGAGAGAGAGAGAGAAACAGAGACAGAGACAGAGAGAAGTGTCTATCATTGAGAGAGGCTGGGAGAGGGTGGTGGGAGGGAAACTGGGGACGTTGGTGGTGGGAAGTGTGCACTGGCGAAGGAACTCGACTCGAGTGTCTGAACATTGTATGAATGAAACCCAATTAACAACTTTGAAACTGTATGTCTCATGTGATTCAATTAAATAAATAAATAAATAAGGATTTGGTGTTTTGTTTTTTAAATATCCCGCAAATGAGTTTTTCCAATAAAAAATAAAATAGTTTGGTGTTTTAGTCATCTGCCTTAAGGATCCCTCACCTCACTCCTCCATTGCTGGAACTCCTTTGTGTGCCAAATTTTCGCTGCTGGAGGGCATTTTTCAAGGGGAGGGACACAAATGCTAATAAGGTTTTGGGCTTCAACTTTTGCACCTGCAAGTGTGAGCTGAAGCTAATTGATAATCCTCCCAAGAATGCAAACATCCTGGACCCCTGTGGAGCAGCACAAGCAGAGAAAAGAGATTTTAAGAAACAGTTTGTAACTGTTTTTATCCTCAGAAGTTATACGAAGAAAAAACTATGATCTGCTTTGATCATCTCTCAATTTCTCTCTTTCTCTAATCTCTGTCATTAAAATAAAAGCTCCCTCTTCTGCCATAATAGATGAATATTTTCCAAGAAAAGAGAAGGCAGCTTAATCTCCATGGAATTTCTCCATTTCAAAAGCATTCTTCAGCCCTAAGAAATGGAGGTTGAGAATGCAGTTTTGTCACAATGGTCACAATAGTGGTGTGTGGGGGAGGGCAGGGAGTAGGGGGTTGTAGCATCCAGGGAGAGCCCCAGTGACCCAGCACTGCCCTTGCTAGCATGAGGCTGTGAATTCCGAGTTTCACAGAGGTGATTTCTAGCACTGCCCTACAAGTCTGTTCTCTGCACTGCCCCCCATAGCACACACACTAAAGTAGGAGTCCAGACGCATTGAAAATACAATAAAGCATGTAAGCTTCCCCCCCCCCCCCCGCCCCAAATGAAGAATGTGATCCCTAGCTAATGCTGCAAGCAAGGCTATCTATCAAGGTAGTGAGATTTCAGCCTTCACAGCTGTAATCAAAGGGAAGGGTCGGTGGAAAGAGAGGTTTTATTGTTTCTTGGGTCTTTTTTGTTCATTTGGTTGGGTTGACTTTTGGGCCACACCCAGAAGTGCTCAGGGCTTACTCCTGGCTCTAGGCTCTAGGCTCAGAATCATTCCAGTGCAAGAGGTACCATATAGAGTGCTAGGGATGGAACACCAATCAGCCAAGTGCAAGGCAAGCACCCACCCACTGTACTATCACTTTGGGCCCTTTTTATTGTTTGCGGGCCTCATCTAGTAGTGCTCAAGGATCACTTTAGGCTCCGTGCTTAGTGATCACTCCTGGTGGTTCTCAGGGGACTTTATGCAGTGCCAGGGATTGAATTGGGGACCAGCTGCATGAAAAGTCAGCACCCTACCCTCTTGTGTTATCTTTCTAGTGCCCTGTGTTGTGTTTGTCTTCTAAGTTTAAAGCCTCTTCCAGCTGCCATGTATCTTGGCACCCTCTCCAGGCACAGTAGCATAAATGAAGGCAACATCAACCCATTCATTCACCCTGGTGGGTTTTGTAAGATGCTACTTAAACAGACCTAAAGGATTCAAAGTAATGGGTCAGGTGGAACCTTAAAGGAAAAGTGCATAGAAGAGCAGGGACAGCAAACACTGTCCTCTGTTCAGAAAAAGAGTTCGTGCTTTCCGAGATCCCGAGCCCAGTGTACCAGGCTGGGGTGCAGGAAATGGGGCAGATGGACTTGAGAGCAATGGAGAAGACAGCGAGGGATGGAATTACTAGTGAGCAGACTCTTCTTGACCCATCAGTGAACAAGATTTGAGGTATAATTTGGGTGTGACTCTATGTATTAGCCAGAAATCATCAAAGTCATTATGGGGGAAATCCTGGAGCAGGTAAGGAAAATTGTGAGTGAAGTGTCGGGCAACACTTTTGTCACCCTTGGAGAATCTTAAGTGCAGTATCTACCAATGATTCTGAGTGCTTCTGAACCTAATTTCATACTTACCAGGAAGGGTTTTTTTTTTAAATAGCCAAGTATACTTTATTATACAAGGAGTTGGAAAAGGACAAATTCATATTTTCCCCCCAAAATTCCCATCAAACATTCCCAATGATCATCCGGTGATGCAGATGAGAGTAAAATAAGAACTGATCTGAAGTAAGTGTTTGAAATGAGCCATTAAATGAAATATAACACATGAAAACTGGAATATTCATTAGGACCCAGAGTTAGAAAAGACCCAGCTTCAAAGATTCTGACTTGCACAGACTGAGGACCCCCATTTCCAGAAGTTCAAAAACTTCCTTTCCTATCTTGGGAATGTCCATCATCCTCCTCAACTTTTGATCTCTCCAGTTCCAGTCAAAAACTAGAAACATTAAGGGGTTCAAATTAAGGCCACGTTGTTTAACAAGTTTTTTAATTCAGGAAGGGGTTTTTTGAAGGGGGATGGGCAGTGGCCCACACCTGGATGTGCTCAGGATTTATTCCTGGCTCTGTGCTCAAGAATCACTCCTAATCACTCTGGTGGCGGGAGGGGGGGCGGGGGGTGGAATAGGTGATAGGTGATGTCAGGGAATCAAACCTGGTTGGCTACATGCTAGGCAAACACGTTACCCACTTTACTGTCAATCTCTCAGGCTCCCCCAGGAAAGTTTGATCTGAAGGATTGCAGCAGAGCAGTCTAGATTGGTCATAAACAGAGAAAAGGACAAAAACTCTTTCCTCTAGCCTCTTAGGTTCTGTGACTTGAACCTACATACAAATTAAATGGAGGAAGACAGATTAACTGGATATAAAGGATTATTTCATATGCAGATAAGGAGTCAACTAAATGAATAACTGATTCCTTAAAGAGTTAAAGGTATATATATTTAACTTAGTGGAGGAAAGGAGGGGAGAGAAAGGTTACTAGAGAAAGCAAATATGGAAGTATCAAATAGGATTTTTTGAAAGACGTTTTTAGGTGAAGAACTGGGAGACAAGAAAATTTGTAGAGAGCTGGAAAGCTAGTACAGCAGGTAGGGCACTTGTCTGGCATGTGACTGACCTGGTTCTGATTCCCAGCATCTCATATGGTTTCCTGATCACCACCAGGAGTAAATCCTGAGTGCAGAGCCAGAAGTTACCGCTGAGAATTGCCAGGTCCCCCACCCCCCGCAACAAAATAATAAAGTTTGTGAAAGGGGCCAGAGAGATAATACAGGGATAAAGTGCTTAACTTGCATGTGACCAACCCCAGTTCAATCCTCAGATTCCCATATGCACCCCAGGGCACCAACAGGAGTGATTCTGAGTGCAAAGCCGGGACACATCCAGGTATGGCCCCAAAACAACAAAAAAGAGATAAGTTTGTACTGAAGTTCTTCTCTGCAAATATGAGGGTTCTCTTTTTATAAACTGTAAAGAGATTTGTGGTGTGGTCTCACTTCTCAGAAGTTTCTGCTTTTAGTCAGATAAGGAAACCTTAGAAAGGGCTTTTTCATTTCTGATGAATCTCAAATGACTTCAGCTTAAAAATCATCTTAATATAGAGGGCTGGAGTAATAGTACAATGGGTAGGTCATTTGCCTTGCACGCAGCCAACCCGGGTTTGATTCCTGACATCCCATAAGGTCCCCCAAGCACCACCAGGAGTAATGCCTGAGTACAGAGCCAGTAGTAAGTTTTTTGCACCGCTGGTATAGTTCCCCCCCAAAACTACCCAAAAAGATGTCCAAACCCCAAAAAAACCACAATGAAAGGAGTGCAATCCCCTAGCAAGCTCTGTCACTGAAAAGCATAAATGAGTACCAGAACCAGGCTTATGTCAACATAGCAACGATGAAGGGAAGGGAGTGGAGGAGAAATCAAAAGAGAACAGAGAGAGAGAGGGAAGGAGAGAGAGAGAGAGAGAGAGAGAGAGAGAGAGAGAGAGAGAGATCTTGGCTGGGAAACAAACCCATAATATGCTATTATGGGGGTCACAGTCTAACTTAAAAGAGCTTCTAACTACAAGCCCCAGGTATGGATTCCCAAATAGAATAGCAATGTCACACCCTCCCCCGACCCCTGTTCTCCCATTACCCTGTGTCTCCCGAACCCAAGAAGATGAGAAAGGCATTGGCCTGGGAGCCCAGTGGAAAGCTGTCTGTGAGGAGAAGCCAGCCATGTGAACTCCTTAATTCTCCACATTCATAAAGAGGCAGCTGTTGTTCAAACCCATAAGTCCAGGGGATCCTGGGCTGGCCTAGCTAGCTAAGACATGCCTCAATATTTGATGTTTAGGCCCCGAGTTTCATGCCAGAGTCCATGATCTCTACCTACTCTGGTCACCAACTCTCTTTCACCCCTCCCATTCTTGCCCCTTGAGCTCCAGGCACTGAGCCAGAGAGTTTGCGGAAGTCCCTGGTCAACGCTACCTGGCCCGCCCTGTTGCGCTGTCTGCCCTTGAGGCCATTAGTCAGGATGTGGAGCGGTACTTCTGAGAAGCAGGTACGGGGGTTCTTCCAGGGACTTGGGGTCCAGGTGTCAACACCTAAACGGGGAACCTGCTTCTCTTCTACTGCCAATCAATTCCCTTCCTTCTCTTACTTTCCGTAAAGACAGACAGAGGGCAGCAGAGCAACACGGAAAGGCCTACAGCCTGTGTAGAGAGAGAAGATGGCTCTGGGCTTCTCTTTTGGCCTTGGTATTTCAGGAACATTTTTTTAGACAAGGGTATCCTTTGCATACATAGATCTTATTATTGTAAGGTATAACACGGCTTTTGTTCTCTCTTTTTTCTTCTTCCTTTTGTTTTTTTGATCATACCCACTGGGCTCAGGGCCTACTCCTTTACTGTGCTGGAGGTGGTGGGAGGCTTTGGTCCTGGCAGTGATCAGCAAACTAGGGGACTTGTCATTCCATGCCTGGTGAGAAAATGAATTCTATTTGCATAGAACAGGGGGCTAAGCCCCCTGTAAACCTGACATGGTCTAGAGATCTTCATGAATTGCCATCCTTCAGCAGAGACACTGCACAGCAAGACCCTTGCCTTGCACACAGCCAAACAACCTGTTTTGATCCCCAGCCCGGGCATGAAATATGATCCCAAGGTAATGGGAAAACAGGGGTCGGGGCTTCAGTAATATGGGAGAGTGGTATAGTGATATATCCAAAGCATGAACACATGAGATAAATACAACCACAGAACTTTGTAATGTGACTGTCAAATGGGGGTGGGGAGGGTGGAGGGATGGAGTATGGAAACAAGAGTGACCAGGAGTGATTCCAGAACTCAGAGCCTTTAGCACAACCAGATGTGGCCCCACACCCAAAATAAATGCATGAATAATAAAATAAAGTGAGCTCTTTTCCTCCAGCTCAGGTCTCACTCACTTTTATTCTAAGCCACACTAGCTCTTACTCCTTAAAAGACCCTAGCCCATGGGTTTGGGCAACGGATCAAAGGGTTGGCACATGCTTTGCATTCAGGAGGCCTGGGTTTAATCCCAGATACCACCCCATATAGCTCACCGAGCACCATTGGGACTGAGTTCTGAGTATACTGAGCTAGGAGTAGTTTCTGAGCATCTTCAATTGTGGCCCCAAATCAAGGAAACAAGTGAGCAAACAAAAACCTGGACTGTGCTCATCCTTGAATTTGCAAGGCTGCAGTTTCTTGTCTGCAAAGCAGAAACTGAATTGGAGCAGGCAGGTCACTGAATAATGGGAGGAATAGGGGAGGCTGATTTCCAATAGAATAAATGATTGCGTACGAGAAGTTTAGAGAACTAAATTCATGCATCAGAATACTTGAAAAGTTGGGACCGCAGATGTGGCCCAGTGGTAAAATACTTGCCTTGTGTGTGTGAGGCCCTGGATTCCATTCCTGGCACCATCAAATATAGAATTTTGAATAGGTCGGTAGCGCTTTCCTCCCATTGTTCATCGATTTGCTCAAGCGGGCACCAGTAACGTCTCACAACAAATTGTGAAATTTGTTGTTACTGCTTTTGGCATATTGAATACATCACGGGGAGCTTGTCAGGCTTTGCCATGTGGGCCGAGATACTCTCAGTGGCTTGCTGGGCTCTCCAAGAGGGGCGGAGGAATCGAACTAGGGTTGGCCGCGTGCAAGACAAACGCCCTACTCGCTGTGCTATCGCTCCAGCTGGAGCCTTGCACATGGCTGACCTGGTTGACTCAAGTTTGATTCCTCCGTCCCTCTCGGAGAGCCCGGCAAGCTACCGAGAGTATCTCGCCCACATGGCAAAGACTGGCAAGCTACCCGTGACGTATTCAATATGCCAAACACAGTAACAAGTGTCACAATGGAGACGTTACTGGGACCGCTCAAGCAAATCGATGAACAATGGGAGGACAGTGACAGTGACAGTGAATAGGTCCTGGGAGATAACTCAATGGACTTGACATAGGCCATATATGTAGGCACCGGGGTTTGATCCCCAGCACCACATGGTTCTCAGCACCGGGGACTAGAAATCCCCAAGCACTGAACCAGGAATAGCCTCTGAGAACTGCCAGGCGTGGCCCCAAAACTAACCAAAACATTCAGAATAAGGACTGGAGCTATAGTACAGCAGTAGATACTTTGCACTCAGCCAACTCAAGTTTGATACCCAGCATCCATGGTATCAGTAGAGCAGGGTAAGGCATTTGCTTTGCACATGGCCAACCTGGGTTTGATCCCTGGTACTCCCTAAGGTCCTTCAAGCCATCCAGGAGTGATCCCTGAGCACAGAGCCAGTAGTAATCTCTGAGCACGGCTGGATGTGGCCCTAAAAACCAAAGGAAAAAATACTGGAATAAGAACAGCAAATTGAACCCTAAGAAAGTAGAAGTGTGGGGGGGAACAGAGATAATAGTATAGTGTGTAAGGTGGGTGCTTAAGATCCCTGAGCACTGCCAGGGTTGATCCCTGAGTGCAGAGCCAGGATTAAGTTCTGAGTACTGCTGAATATGACTCAAAAATAGGAAAAACAAAAAAGAAAGTAGAAGGAAGGAAATTATGGAGAAAAGAGAAGATATTGATGAAAGATAAATTAGTGTCAAAAGTTGACTCGGGATCAGCAAGTACAAAAAGAGATGGTTAAATCACCAGGCTGAGCACGTTTGGCAATATAAGAGCCCCAGGTTCAATTTCCAGCACCATGTGGTCCCCCAAGCATCAGTGGGAGTGACCTCTAGCACAAAGCAGAGAGCAGTCACTGAGCACTGCAGGGTGTGTCTCCAAAACAAGTAAGTTCGTTCTTTTAGGGGCCTGGTCTGTACCTCAGTAGTAGAGCACTATCTTGCATGCAGGAAGTCCTGGTTTGATCTCTGCTCTGCCAAAAAAAGTTGATGTTTTGGGCTGGGGAAATAGCTACTGTGTCTGGCATGCATGATGTCCTGGGTTCAATTTGCAGAATTGTGAATTCCTTCTCCATGCAACACTGAGTGTAGCCCTAGAGACCACTCTGCAACCCCATCACCTCTGGATGACTCTACTAGATCCCCAAGAGCACCATTTTTCAGTCTGAATCAGGATCCAAATGGCATACACAGTCATAGAATGGCCAAAAATGAATTTCAAACACTCTGAGCTCTGATGGGAAGCCCAGAATAAAAGCTGCTTCTTTCAACAGAACATTAAAATATTAGTATTTTCTGCTTTCTTCTCAAGAAATTTATAGGAGAGTTGGATCCTTACATGTGTCTGGCCCTAGTTTGCTTCTCGGCACTGCATAGGGTCTCCGAACCCCACCAGGAGTAATTACTGAGAGCAGAGCCAGGAGTTATTCCTGAGTACCTCCCTGAGAGAGCTCAATGACTGAATGCACACTTTCCATGTGGGAACTCTGGGTTTGATACTTGGCATCACACAGTCCACTAGGCACTGAGGGAGGAGTATTCCCAAGCACCACTGGACATGGCTCAAAACCAAAAGGAAAAAAGAAAAATTAATTCAGAGGAAAAAATACTTTGCTGTTATTAAGAACTAAAAGGGGGTGCTCTTACAAAACCTACACATGGTGGAAAGTTAATAAAAGTTTTAAAATATTCAGCTTTCTTTCTTTTGTGGAGCAGCACACCTGGCTGTGCCCAAGAATTACTCTGCTCAGGGATCATTCTTGGCTGGGATGGGGGGACTATATGGAGGGCTGGGGATCAAATCCAGGTAAGTTGCGTGCAAGGCAAATACCCTATCACTCCAGTCTCCTTACCTTATTTTCAACTGACATCAAATGTCAGCCATCTCCTGGTTCTACTTCATGCATGTTTCTCAGGAGATAAGAATAAGAGAAATCACTAAAACACTGGAAAGGTGGAGCTGAGAGTCACTGAGATAGCTCAATGGCCTAGTGCACACTTTGTATGTGGGAGCTCTGAGTTTGATATTCTAGCACCAGATGGTCTCCTGAGCACTGAGACAGAAGTAGCCCCAAAGCACCATTGAGTATGGCCCAAAAGCCAAAAAGAAAGAGGAGAGAAACATAAAAAGAAATCAAGTTGGAGCTGGATAACAGCAAGTGTTTAAAATGTCATGATTTCAGACCAAAAAGATAGTACAGGGCTTAAAGTGCTTGCCTTGCAAGCCAGTTTGGATCCCTGGCATTGCATATAGTCCCCCAAACACCACCAGGAGGGACCCCTGAGCATATAGTCAGGAGTAGTTTTTGAGCACCACCAGGTGTGGCATAATCCTCACTTTTGCCACCCTGCATCCCCCCCCCCCACCAGTAATGTAATAATTTGAATGGAATAGACTGGAAGTCAATTTTTATGCTAGGAACTGGGCTTAATTCTGCATTATTCATAAATTGAACAAATATTATTGGTCTGGGGGGGTTGGGTCACACTTGGCTCTGCACTCAAGAATCACTCCGGTGGTGTAACCCTATGGGGTACTAGGGATCGAACCCAGGTCTGCCGCATACATGACTGCAGTACTGGATTTCCAACTTCTGGACTTGTTGTTTAGGGAAATATGGGGAACAGAACAGAAGCTACCCTTATGAAGAGTGTGCTCTAATCCTAGGGCTAGACATTAATGTACAGAAGCACAGGGTCTGAAGAAGATCTAACAACGTTCCTTACTACAGCCAAGCAAAAAGACAATGGCTTGGAGTATAAGAGCAATAAGTGAGACTGTGAAGATTGGAGGGTTATGGTAGGGAATCTGGAAATACTTTAAGTTTTGAGCCACAACTGGCAGTGCTCAGGGTTTACTCCTAGCTCTGTGCTTATGGATTAGTCCCTGTTGGGTTTGAAGGACCATAAGGTGTGCCAGGGATGGAACCCCGCTTGGCTGTGTGCAAGGTAAGCATTATACCCACAGTACTATCTCTCTGGCCTCAGGGTATGTAAGAATTTAGTCTCCAGGTGAACAGCGCATGCTTCTTCATGGGCTCCTTGACACACTGGCATGTTAAGTTTCCACCCCTATGCATGATTTTTGATGCTAAAATGAGGCAGACTTTCAGGGAGGGGGCCAGACTGGCATCTACCTTGGCACTGGTTGATTCAGTCTGGTTTCTTCTACTGAGCTCCTCTCTCCTGCAACATCCTCCCTCTGCTTTTCTTAGAAATATGCTACTTAAGGACACACATTTCCTTTTGAGGTGATAAACACAAAGTAGTAGACTTGGTGTCTAAGGGAGTGGTGGGGGTGGAGTTCTGAACACAGTCCCTGCGCTAGTCTCCATGATACCATCATCATCATTAGTGCTTTCAGAACATTTGCTCTGTGGGACTGTATCAGGCACAGGTCTAAGCCTTTAAATATACAGCTCTTGAGCCAAGTGATTAAGATACAGGGGGTAAGATGCTTGCCTTGTATGCTACTGACCAAGTTTCGGTTTCTAGAACCCCATATGGGCTCCCAAGTCCTTCAGGAGTGATCCCCATGCCTAGAGCCAGGAGTAAGCCCTGAGCATTGCCGGTTGCACCCACCCCCTATACAGATCTTTTCTAATCTCCATAGTAATCCTATACAATACATACAAAATTGTATCATTTTAGGCTCCTGGAAGATGTACGGGGGTTAAGGTGCTTGCCTTGCAAGCAGCTAAGCTAAGTTCAAGAATCCCCAGTAATTACATAGGGTCCCCCAAACCCTCCTAGGAATGATGCGAGTACACAGCCACAACTAACCCCTGAGAACTGCTCGGTGTGGCCTGAAACCCAAAACACCACCAACAAAAGTCCTTTTAAAGATGTAGAACCCAAGATTCCAGAATAGATAGGGTGCTTGCCTTGCATGTAGATGACCTGGTTTGATCCCCGGCACCCCACATGGTACCCTGAGCCCTCTAGAAGTGATTCCTGAGTGCAGAGGCCCTGAGTACCATAGTAATACCTGAGCACTGCAGGTTGTGGCTAAAAAAAACCAAACATAAATTTAAAAAATAAATAAAGATGGAGAAACCAAGAGGCAGAGAGATTAAATGTCCATCTGGCTCTGGCTCCAGAACCTAGACTATTGTCATTGTTGTTTTGAGAGTCACACCCTGAGGTGTTCAAAGGCTACTTCTGACTCTGCTCAGGGGTTGTGCTAGGGCCAGGTGATTCTGAGATCAAGTGCAAATCTCCCACAAACAAAGCATGGACTCAATATTTTGAGCTACTTTTGCTAGCCCCCAGCAAACCTTTAGCACTAGATTCTGTGTCCTCTAGTGCCAGATGCTAGAGGCAGCTCATAATTGTGTAAGGATACAGTTTTCTAAAGAACACAAGTCAAGAGAAAGTTGATAAGGAGGAAAGATGCAAGGGTGGGAAGATAGGGAGAGTGTATTGTGTTCTGCTCCAGGTGGATCTGTATATACACATGCCCAGAAACTTATTGTTTGGTGCTCAGAGGTTATTCCTAGCATGGAGCTCAGAGGCCCAAGGGTGCTCCAGCCATTTGAGCCATCTCCCCAGCTAGTCACTTTGGTTTCATCTGAAATGTGCCCTCCTTTTCTGTACTCTATGATCATAGCTGTACAGGGGCTCAGAGGGTACTGACCAACCTAAATGGCCCAACTTGTACTCAATGGGTTGGTTCTCCTCAGTGTTGTTCCATTTCTTGTGAAAGAGATGAATTCCAACTTGGGGCAAACCAGCAGGGACTGGGGTTTGGTTTTCACTCCCTTTATTTTCACGCCTATCCCCTCTGGAAGGATGTTGAAAGGGAACAAGAACATGGTGATGGGGCTGGAGAAATAGTACAGTGAGTAGGGTGCTTGCCTGACTCAGGGTTGATCCTCAGCACCCATAACGGTGCACTGAGCCCCACCAGGAGCAATCCCTGAGCACGGAGCCAGGAGTAAACCCTGAGCACTCCTAGATGTGGCCCCAAAGCCAAAAAAGATGGTGGAGTGTGGTCATGAGAGACAAAAACTCTTGTGAGAATCTGCACATGGGCATTAAGACTCTACTAAAGGTCTAGACAGTTCAAGGGTTAAGGCACTTGTCTTGCACGCTACTGACCCAAGTTCGATTCCTGACACTGCCTAGAGTCCCCTGAGCCCTTCCAGGAGTGATCTTTGAGCACAAAGCCAGGATTAAGCCCTGAGCCTGACCAGAAGTTACCAGAAAATAATTATAATTAAAAGACTATATTTAAGTTTCCTTGAAGGAAATGGGGATAGGAGTAAGTATCTTCATTAGGCAGGTGAGGAGAAGAAACGAGAAGTTCATGCATGACCAGTGGTATTGTGATCTTTTCTTACCTTCCTCTCCCGCCATTTTTTTCAGTCCTGGAGGAACAGCAGTCAGAACCCTTCTCTGTGTCTTATCCATAGTCTTGACCACATCGTGATGACTGTGAAGAGCATCAGAGAAACCATCAGGTTTTATTCCAAGATACTGGGCATGGAAGTCATGACTTTTAAGGTAACCATCCTCCACCCCAAGACAAAGTGAATTTGCAGAACAATTCAATGAGACTACTTTGAAAAAAACCTCACTCCAAATTACAAACCAACTCGGAAAATTCTGTGAGGAGTTGTTGGAAAGGTCCATGGCAGATCTAAAGGGAATAGAGTAAAAGGAAGTGAGGAAATTACTGTAGAAATCATATCAGAGAATTTCACTCTCATTATGTTGTGCTGGTGCAAGCCTCGAGTGAACAGATAGAGACAGCCCAGAATAGGATAGTGAGTTTATTAGAGGCTCAGCGCTGAGGACCTCAAGTCAGAAGAGAAAGAGATTTGAAGCTCCGTTTGCTGAGAGTCTCTCTTTTACCCTCTAAATGCCGGCTACAATCTATGTACATTCTTATCAGTGAAACAAGGGATACAGAGGTAATAAGCAAAAGAAAAACAATCAACGCATCGTTCCCACCTGGTAGGGCCTTCCGGTGCTCCCCCCCCCAAAAAAAAAACAGTCAGTGTCAGTATATCAGGGACCAAGAAAGCATGCTTTGCATGTGCAAAGTCCTAACTTTGATTCTGGTACTGCATGTCCCCCAGCACCATCAGGTGTAACCCTGGATCCTCCACTCCCACCCCTTACGACTGAGCCTGAGCAGCACCTAATCACTGGACCCAAGGAATAGTCCTATTGGCTTAGACAAGTATTGCATAAGTATCCCTTAGGCTCCCTGGGCACTGTCTGGGGTCTCCCCCACACACACCCCAAAGGAAAAAATAATAATTAAACTGCAAGGAAAAAGGCATACATGGCTATCAGATTTCCTAAGCCTCACATGAGCGGTCAGAAGACAATAAAACATCTTCATGATTCTAAGGGAAAAAATAAATTTTCCCCGGCTTCGTGACCATACTCAGAGGTGCTTATGGACTATTCCTGGTTCTGTGCTCTGGAAGGATCCCTGACCATGCTGGGAGTGGGGGAACTATATGTGGTTACAATGTACATGTGCATATGTGGGAGTGGATCAAAGCAAGTAAGGGTAAGAATGAGGGCAGAGTTCATTGGGGACTCCTTTGATGGAAAAATTTTAAACACTGAATATGTATTCAATCAAACTATTAATCAAGGTGCATGTGGAACAAAGCATTCTTAAGCCCCAAAGAAAAAAGAAAAAGACACAAAACCTCCCCCACCTTGCTTATAAATCCTGTTTGGAGCAGGAAAAAGAAAGGATCAAGAAAAAACAATGTCTGGGGGTATGGTGCCGCCAGCAGGTCAATCTGTACCTGTGAGGCAAAGTGCATCAGCAACCTGATGGTGCCTTCAGACTTCTAGATACCCCAAAATTGCTGCTGTGCCTTTGGTCAGACCCCAACAACTTGGGGCCAAATTTAGCAAGAAAGTAAATGGCCAAAAGTTAGGTATGTGGGAGACACACCCACAAACCACCTTCGGCTCAGATATATAGTTGGAGGCAAGGCCTCTTGTTCCTGATCAAACTGCTTAACAGCCATGATCCCAGAGATTCAGGAACAAATCTTGGAACCCAGAAGCTTTTGGCAGAAATGCATCTGGTCCCTGAAGTAGGTTACCAGTGCCGGGCCACTCCAGGGGGCAAAGAGTGCTGTCCCTCAGCCTGCTGCCTTTTGGCAGCTCAGAGGCCATCATCCTCCAGAGGCCACTGGACAGTCAGGTTTGGGCCGGCAGTGACGAGACACACGGGGCCTCACGGGATGGGGGTGAAGCCAGCCCTTTTCTCCCCAGCCTCAACAAGACCCTGACTCGCATCCCACAAATGTCCTTTCTGGCTCCTCATCAAGCTGCTTAATGCCATGATCACAGAGACCCAGAAACAAATCTCAGAACCCAGCGGCTTTTGGCAGAAATGCATCCGGTCCCTGCAGTAGGTTACTGGTGCCAGGCCACCCCAGATGTGAATAGGTTTTGTGCCTTGGCCTGTTTCCCCTGGCGGCTCAGTGGCCGCCATCCTCCAGAGGCTAGTGGACAGTCAAGTTTCGGCCCACAGTGACGAGACACGCCGGGCCTCATGGGATGGGGGTGGTGGTGCTGGCCCTTTTCTCCATCCCCCCAAACAAGACCCTGAGTCGCCTCTCATAAATGGCCTCTCTGGCTCCTGATCAAGCTGCCATGACCCCAAAGACTCAGGAACAAATCTCGAAACCCAACAGGTTTTGGCAGAAATCCCTCCAGATTTAATTGTTAAAATTTCGAAATTCGAAAATCTCATGGCCACTACTGTGGCCGTGCAACATCATATGTTATTCATAATCAGCAATAGAAAACAAATTGTCTACTATTGCCTTCTCAGTAGATCTGAGTATTGGAGTAAAATCCCAAATTAATAATGGTGGGTCTGAGGTCGAAATATTGAATGAAATTAAAGTAGAGAGAGAGAGTAATGTGGAAATCATCTGCCCCACAGGTAGGGGGAGGGTGTGGGATGGGGTGCATACTGGGGGTTTTGGTAGTGGAAATTGGGCACTGGTGAAGGGACAGGTGTTTCATCATTCTATGACTGAGACTTTAACCCGAAAGCTTTGTAACTATTCTCACGGTGATTCAATAAATTTATAAAAGCACTGTAGCACTGTCATCCCGTTGTTCATCAATTTGCTCGAGCAGGTCCAGTAACGTCTCCATCATGAGACTTGTTGTTACTGTGTTTGGCATATCGAATATGTCACGGCTAGCTTGCCAGGCTTTGCCGTGTGGGCGAGATACTCTCAGTAGCTTGCCAGGCTCTCCAAGAGGGGTGAAGGAATTGCACCCGGAACTGCCAGGTCGGCCGCGTGCAAGGCAAACTCCCTACCGCTGTGTGATCATATATGATTTAGTATAGATAAGAATAAGGTCTCAGATTATAATAGCACTTGCGGTGAGCCTTAAAGGATGGTTATGGGGTTGGGTATTTTGCTCAAGGGACTGAGCACATGGCTTGCATTTCAAGTGTCTCAGTTCAAGTCCAGCACTACATGCCTGCCTCCCCCCAGCACACCCTAAAATGAACCCCATAATTTTTAATGGTTAAAAATGGAAACTACAGGATTTTTTCCTGAATGTAAAAGTTAATGTTCACTGTAGAAAGTTGGAAAAATGATGCTTTTTAAAAATTACAAATAAGCCTAAAATCTTTGCTAACTTAATTTTGTATGTCCTTCCAGCTATATAGTAATTTAGCTAATGAAGTGATAGTACATAGTTATTCTTTTTTAATCTGACATTATATTGATTGTATTGATAGTATTTACCTGTCTTTTGAAACCATACTTAATGGTTACATAATAATTCATTCTCTAGTTGTGACAATTATTTAATGTTATCAGATACTAAGACTTTAGTTTATTGCTATTGTAACCTCATTTGCCACTGTTTTCTGAGGATAGATTTCTACAATGGAAAGGGTTTAAATAATTTAAGGCTCTTGACTGCAATTATACTGTTTTCCATAATAAGTTTCAAAATGTGTCCTACTATGCAGTTATTCATTGTTAACTCTGTAAAAATGCAATTGAGGCAGAGATAGATGTTTACTCTGTTATCTAAAAATAGAGTGTCCCTGTGAAACCCTTCATTTTAAAACTAAACAATTACCTTTATAATGCAAGGTATTGTAGTGCTCCCAGACCGCCAAATAACCTGCCAAATGTTATTGAGTAACCAATTATATAAAAAGTAAAATCACTCTGCATAGCAGGAATTATATGATAGAAAGTACATTATATGATAGAAAGTAATTCCAGTGAATGAGCTTGGCAATATCACATTCTGCTTTTGATGTGCAAAATTTATAAAAAAGAAAAAAAAAGTAAGGTGAAGTTCATGCCCAATTCAATCAGCCTAATCAATGGCTGAATAAATAGCAATACTCCTATATTAAAAAAAGAAGAAAAAGAAAAAGAAATGTCAGGTGGGAAATAGGGTTCTGCAGAAGGAATTTGAATTTACAGAATTTGGAGCAACTTTACCCCCACCCCAAAGTGAGAAATGCAGATATTTGGAACAGGCCTTAACCAGAAAAGATTCATAAAGTTGCTAAATAGGATAAAAGTGAAAAGAAACACTAACAAAGAGTACTGGGCATACAATAGAATTATGCAGCATTTACATAGAATAATATCATCTTGAATAAATACACAGCTAGGCAGACAAATGCTAAAAAATAGTCACTGTATTACTGTATCACTGTCCTCCTGTTGTTCATCGATTTGCTCGACCGGAGTTCAATTCCTCCACCCCTCTCAGAGAGCCCGGAAAGCTACCGAGAGTATCTCGCCCGCACGGCAGAGCCTGGCAAGCTACCCGTGATGTATTTGATATGCCAAACACAGTAACAACAAAGTCTCCAATGGAGATGTTACTGGGCCCGCTAGAGCAAAAAATAGTCAGGGGAGAGAAAATGCAAAACAGAATCAGAGAATACCCTCCATTAGAAGGTCTAATGCCTATTTTATTACTGATATAACCCCTCACAAAAAACACCCTGTGCTTTGGAAAAGAAACAAAAAAGCCCAGAATCTACATATTAGTGCATCTGTTTGACATTCACACATAAAACAATAAAGTACTTTTCATGATAACTGATGAAAACCAGAAGATACCAACCAAATACATTATAATGGCTGCCTAAGACTATGGACAGAAATAGAAAATGAAGATAAAAGGAATAAATAAATATGTAAATCAAGTGAGAGAAGGCCCTGACATGAACCAATGTTAAGTCATACCAAAGCTTAACTCCCTCTGTTTGTATACATTGAATACATTTGATGCATTGGACACGCATGAAATTTCAATGTACTTTACAGAAAACACCCAAAATTGCTACAAGAACAGAGGGTATATTTATCATTTACAAAAGAAGGAAAAACAGATTAACATCAATTCTTATCAGCAACTCCAGATTCAGGAGGACAACTGAAGTCTTTTAAAAGACCTTTAAAAGGCTATGGGACATTTGTTCCTGAGTCTTTTGGATCATGGCCGTTAAGCAGCTTGATCAGGAACTAGAGAGGCCGTTTGTGGGTGGCGACTCAGGATCTCGTTGGGGCGGGGAGGAAAGGGCTGGCTCCACCCCCATCCCTCGAGAGGCCCCCGTGTGTCTCCTCACTGCGGGCCCAATCCTGACTGTCCAGTGGCTTCTGGAGGATGGTGGCCACTGAGCTGCCTAGGGGGATCAGGTTAACAACACCCTTTCCCCCAAATCTCGGAACCCAGCAAGTTTTGGCAGAAAACCCTCCAGATTTAATTGTTAAGATTTCGAAATTCCAAAATCTCACAGCCACTACTGCAGCTGTGCAACATCATATGCTATTCATAACCAGCAATAGAAAACTAATTGTCTACTGTTGTCTTTTTGGTATATCTGAGTATTGGGGTAAAATCCCAAATAATAATGGTGGTTCTGATGTCGAAATATTGAATGTAGAGAGAAAGTAATGTGGAAATCATCTGCCCCACAGGTAGGGGAGGGTATGGGATGGGGTTTTTGGTGGTGGAAAATGGGCACTGGTGAAGGTATGGGTGTTTCATTGTATGACCAAGATTTATATCCGGAAGCTTTGTAACTGCTCTCACAGTGATTCAATAGCACTGTAGCACTGTCCTTCTGTTGTTCATCAATTTTCTTGAACAGGCACCAGTAACATCTCCATTGTGAGGCTTGTTGTAACTGTTTTTGGCATAGCGAATAGTTCACGGGTAGCTTGCCAGGCTTTGCCGTGCGGGCACGATACTCTTGGTAGCTTGCTGGGCTCTCCAAGAGGGACGAAGGAATTGAACCCAGGTCGGCCCAGGTTGGCTGCAAGCAAGGCAAGCGCCCTACCCACTGTGCTATCGCTCCAGCCCATTATTCAATAAATAAAATTATAAAAAAAGGGGAAAAAGGCTATGGGACAATAGCCTCTTTTTTTAAAAATAGTCTTTTAAATGGCTATGGGACAATAATCTGCAACTTTGAATTCTATACTCAACCAAATTACCAGTCAAGTGGAATAGTCATTTTCTTTTACAGAAATAGTTCATTCAAGCCTGGTTCATGCAAATGCTCCCCTGAGCAAGAATAGTCCCAGAGCAATAGTGGGTCGGTGGGGGCAGGGATGGGGGGTGGGGACAAGGAGGGATGGATGTGGTATCAACTGCAATTATATAAAAGAAAGAAATGTAAAATTGAACAAACTTGAGAGGCACAGGAAAGGGAGGACACAGATTAAGGGGGCATTAGGGATGATGAAAAACTGAATTTGTTCTATCCAAGCATCAAGATACAAGTAGGTTATTCAAAAATTGTAAAGGAACCAAAAAGACATTTTAAATGCTCATGGAATTCTATTGAGAGGGGCAGTAATGTGGACGAGATAAAGTTTCATTTAGCATAGGAGGAAGAGTATGGAAAATATGTTTCCAGTGTTATCAAGATGTATTTGGTGCATCAGTTAGGAAGATAAATACAGAAAAGAAAACTCAACCGTCAGTGAATTGAATATAATAGTTTTCTTTCTCTCATTGAACAACCAGTCCGGAAGTACAGTCAAAACTCTGGTCATGGCTGGCACAGAAGAGGAAGTGAATGGGCAAAAAGCATCAGTCCAGTGAGGCAGGGATGTTCTCAGAAACTCTGTTCACAACCTGTACTTATATCCAGTTCATTGTCTTGCCAGACATCTTTTATGATGTCTGAGCAACGAATGATAGTGAATGTAGGTTTTTAAAGCTGTGAGCACAGTTAACCCCTTTGAAATAGGATGAAGTTCAGAAGAAAAATGGAATAAAGTAGGCAGACACATTGTTGTCTCTGCACCCATGGCATAAATATATTATTTGGAGATATGATAATAAATTCCAGAAATACGGGGCCAGATAATACAGTGCTTGTCTTGTCCACCCCAGGTTTGATCTTCATCACTACATATGATCCTCCAAGTCCCACTAGGAGTTGTTGGGTGTGGCCAAAAAACCCCAAATAATAATAATAATAATAATAATAATTAATAATAAATTTCCAGAAATAGACACATCTGAATATTGAAAGCAATTGCTTGTAGGGAATGAAATGAGATGGGGTGAAGGGCTACTGTTTTTCATGAAAAACATTTATCTACATTTTTGTTTGTTTGGGTTTGGGGGCAACATCAGCTTGTGGCCAGGGCTTACTTCTAGCTCTGTGCTCAAGAATCACTCCTTATTATGTTCAAGGGACCAAGGATTGAATCCAGATCAATTGCATGCAATGAGAGCCTCTTTCCTGTTGTGCTATCTTTCCAGCCCTTACCTGCATTGGAAAAAAAAACTTGTGTGGGGGTGTGGGGGAAGGTGCTTTTTCTGCCTCCCACTCATCTTGGAGGTTCCATTTTAGTTGATTTTCTTTTCCCAAATAGGGAGATCGGAAAGCATTATGTTTTGGAAACCAGAAATTTAATCTTCATGAGGTGGGAAAGGAATTTGAACCCAAAGCAGCTAATCCAATTCCTGGTTCCTTAGACATCTGTTTGATCACAGAAGTACCTTTGGAGAAAGTGATCCAGCATCTCCAGGTGAGTTCCATGCTGGTTTTATACATAAATAAATCCATTTATTAGAGGCTAGCAATGCTTCAGATGCTAGATCTAGTGGTTTTTCAAGTCCTTCAGTCTTCTGGTGGCAAATTTGACTGTGGCAGTAGAGTGATATTGTATGTTCAGGCAGCCCTCACCATGGTTTCATGCAGGAACCGCAGTGTCAAATGCCCACGGCCTGTCTCTTCATCTTGATCTTGCTGCAGAAAGAGCACATGTCCTTGGCATGCTGGTTGATTTCAATTTTCTTCTCCATCTTCCGGAAGGAGGCACTGTAATTATTTCCATATTTACTCATAATCCCCACCTTCTTTGAGATAAATTTAGCCATCCTGCTTTCAACCAGCTCAGGATGCAGAGAGGCCCATGATGTTCTTTTGAGGAAGCTGCTACAGAGAGTGAAAACAAAGCATGATGGATGGATGTCTTCCTCAAGCTTCATAGAGCTCGTTTTGTCACATCCAGATATTGCCTGTACACAGTTGTGACTCAGGATATTTTCTGCTATCTTTTTTTCTTTTTATTTGGTGGGGGGCATAGGGGCACACCTGGCTGTGCTCAGGGTTTACTCCTGGCTCTGGGCTCAGGGATCATTCCTGGTGGCTTGGGGGACAATTTGGTATCCCGGGATCAAAGCCAGATTGGTCACATGCAAGACCTCACCTACTGTATTATTACTTCAGTCCTGATAACATTTTTCATGTAAGCAAATATATTTGCTTTTAATGGCACTGGGCACCAAACCCAGGGCCTTACACAGATGAGGAGTCATGCATCTTACCAGTGTATCACATCTCTGGCACTTAAAAGTATTTAAAAAGAAAGTTTAGTCACAGAGAGATTGTAAAAGGGATTAAGATGATTCCCTTGCATTGGGCTGGCTGGGTTTGAATTCCCAATGTTGCATGTGGTCCCTTAAGCATAGCCAGAGGATGCTCTGAGTACAAAGCCAGGAATAATCCTTGAGCACTGCTGGGTGTGGCCACAATGCTCTCCAAATTAAAAAAAAATTAAAGGAAATCTTACATCATTATTGTACAAAAATGTATACCTGAATTATTTTTATATAAATACATTTTTGTGGTATTTAACCAAGTGAAAGCTCCATTCTATCTTGGCACAAAGGGAAGATAACTGTAATAACAAACAGCTATAAAAGTATCGCAATGTCATCAGATTCTACCCACTTCCGTTTGCTGAACTCTCTGGGCCTGACATTACAAAGGAAGAGTTGTCACGTGATTAAGGAGCTCCTAACCACTAGTTTCTTAGCATGCACCAGAGATATTCTTCTTGGTATAATCCTGAAGACTGATGGAACATTGAAGAGGAAATAATTTCTGATTGACTTCTAGTTGGTGTGCTTGTAAGACTTCAAATGATTTCATATGGAGAGGCATCAGTTATCCCTGTGGGAAATAGGCTGAGGCCTAGAATGTATTCTCTATAAATATCCTGGACTCTTTTCTTACTCAGCATCAAAAAGGATTTGATCGGAAGAACAGAAAGTAAAACAAGGGAGTTCAGACTTTGGGGACTGGAGTGATAGCATAATGGGTAGAGCACTTGCCTTGCATTCCAACGACCTGAATTGGATCCCACACACCCCTTATGGGTCCCCGAGAACTGGGGGACACTCTCCTGAGTGCAGAGCCAGGGATAAACCCTGAGTATCACCAGGTGTGGCCCCAAAGCAAAACAAAAAGAATGCAGACTTTGGTCCAGACTGTTTGGATTTGAATTCTAGCTCTTCCTCTTTCTAGATAGCACAAAAGACTAAGTATCATGCCTATGTTACAGAGGTGGAAACTAGGATACTGAGTAATTTTTTTTTGCCCAAGGTCAAAGTTTGTCTTAGTTACAAGTGTGTGATTATGCCAGAGTTATAGACTTTTTAGAAGTTTCCATTCTAGGTTGTTTTCTCTTCTCAAATAGAGGACATTTAAGTCCACAGAGATAGTACACCAGAAAAAGAGTTTGCCTAGTTTGCCTTGCATGTATCTGACCTGGGATTGATCTCCGGCACTGTACATGATCCCCCAGCATTGCCAGGAGTAAGCCCTGAGCATCAGTGGATGTGACCCAAAAGCCAAAACAAACAAAAGCCCCAAATAGGAGTCATAGTCATTTCATATGTCATCCTTTATACTCATCTTGATTCTGGTCTGTTTTATTGTTTTGGTTTTGGAGCCACACCTGGCTGTTCTCAGGGTTTACTCTTGGCTCTGTGCTCAGGGTTCATTATTGGCTGGGGCTCAGGGTAGAATGTTTGTGGTGCTGGAATAGTACCTTGTTCTATCCTACATGTAAGGCAAGTGCCTTATCCACTGTACTATCTCCCCAGCCCCAGTTTAAGCTGTTTTATCTAGAAAGGAGAGGAAAATGGTAGATGAGATCCAAAAGACATGGGGGAAGGTGCTATACTTAAGTGAAATTTTCATAGAAAATGGAATAGCAGCTGTTGCATGTTTACAACAAAACTCTTTAAAATAAAACAAGCCCCACCACTGAATGCTGCAAAGAACAAAACCATGTCAATCACAGATGGCAGCTTGAGGAGCACATAATTTTGTTTCTAAGGATCTGCTAAATAATAAAACCAATTCATGCATTTGAGAAAAAAGAGCTACACAATGTCTTCTAGGAATTTAGTTATGAATTAGTTAGTTCCACAGCCTATGATGAATGATCTCTGTCTTCTCTTTCCCCTTCAGGCTTGTGATGTCCCCATTGAGGAGGGCCCTGTCCCTAGAACGGGGGCAAAAGGGCCCATTATGTCCATCTACTTCCGAGACCCAGATGGAAATTTGATTGAGGTGTCCAACTATATCTCCTGTGACTGAAGCTGGTGCCACTCCATTCTGTGCCCTGGGAAGTCACCCTCTTTCTTCTCGCCTGCAAACCCTCACCTAGAACCAGGGGCCTCTGAGGACTGGTCACTTAAGTAGGCATTTCAAACATTCATTCTTGTGGGGTCACCTTAAATGTGTTTGATTCTCCCCCCAGACAACTCCACATCCTCTATTTCAGCTGCCCCCCAAATAAATCACTGGGTTATCAGGAGTTTGTTCTTCATTATTATTGACTCTGCACTTTATATCTGCTTTTGAAACCACAGTGTGATGTCTCAGAGAGCTTTGGGAGTCAGGCACCAGGGTTTCTCATTTTTATGGACCAAATCCATGTTCACTGAACCTCGAGCTCTTTCTTGTTCTCATAGGATCAATACAGATGATACTGGGTTCTAGGATCAACCCAGATGATACTGCCTTTGCTTGGTACACCTTAGCTGATTTCACCCACAGGGTACATAGCACTTCCGTTCTTCAGATCTGGTCTGGCATTGTCAACTCCTGACAGAGCATACAGGACAAAGACCAATCTCCGATTCTACTCCCATTGTATCATTCATTCAGCCAACTAAGAAACATATAGTGAGCACCTCCTGTGTCTTTTGCCCTCATCCAGACATTGGAAAGACAGTGTTGAGCAGAAGAAATAAGCAAATGTATGTTTGGGAACTTGCCATTCTAGCAGGATAGATAGACAATAAATACAATTAAGGAAGCTATGAAGTAGATGAGAGGATGCAGATAAAAATGGCTGGGACAGTTTCCCTCTTTCTCTCCCTGTGTGTGTTTGTGTGTGTGTGTCTGAGAGAGAGAGAGAGAGAAAGAGAGAGAGAGAGATGGAGAGAAATGAGGAAGTCCGAAAAAGCCACACGGAGGAGACCATGGAACACAGACCTGAAGAGAGGAAGGGAAGAGTTGTACTGGAAGCTGGTGGAAAAGCTCATCAGGCAGAGACAAATCATACCAATGAGGCTGCTGTGTGGCATGCAGGTGATGAAAATGGGAAAGGCAGCAGGGACAGACTGTGGAGTGGATTCTGGCTTGCCCTGTAAGTCATGGACGAGGGAAGGTCCTGAGTGGAAGAAGGCCAAGATCAGACAGACACTCCTGCTATTGTGAGGAAATTACTGTGGAGCAAAGATAGAAGCAGGAGAGTAGCAGAGGCGGTGTCTCTGGAACTGACAAGGCAAGTGATCAAAGTACTTTGTTTCTGCAGGTATTTTTTTTTTGCTTTTTTGGGGGGTCACACCCGGCGATGCACAGGGGTTACTCCTGGCTCTGCACACAGGAGTTAACTCCTGGCGGTGCTCAGGGGACCATATGGGATGCTGGGAATCGAACCCAGGTCGGCAAGGCAAACGCCCTACCCACTGTGCTATCTCTCCAGCCCCTCTGCAGGTATTTTGAAGACATGCTGGATGAGTTGACCCAGACAGAAAATTTCAAGTAGAAATTTGAAAGGTTAGAAAGAGGAAAAGGTTTGAAAAAGGAAGAGGTTAGAGCCTAGTAAATTAGAGTTCTGGAGTCAAAGGAGGAGCCAGCAAACTAGAAACAAGAGAAGATTATGGTGTCCTAAAAAGAGTGTATGATGGATGATGGAGCCTGTCTGAGAAGCTCTGATGATGAGGGAACCTTTAGTCTCCAGTATCCACTCAATACAGCCTCTCAGCCATGCCCTATGAGTAAACCACTAGGGATCCCAAAAAATGCTTGGGAGAGTGTATAAGAGAGGATATAAGCTTCTACAAGTGAAAGGCTTGGCCAAGTGCTCTAGAAGATTTCCTGCCTGTTTTATTTTTATGCTTTTTAAAATGGTTTATTTAATTTGTTTAATTTTTACTGTGATTTACAATACTGTTAATAATAGTTTCTCAGGCACCTAATTCCAACACCACATCCATCACCAGTGTATCCCCTCCCCTCTCCCAAGGACCCTAGCAACTGTCTTTCTCAAACCTCCCCTGGTCAACTCAATTGTGTGGATCAGTTCCCCTGTTATGTTACCTTTAGACCTTTGTTGCTACATTGCTGTATATTTTTAAGTTCCACACATGGGACAGATCATTCTGCATCTATCCTTTTTCTCCTAACTGATTTCAGTCAGCATGATACCCTCCAGTTCCATCCACATCACTACAAATTATTTTTAAAAGGGCTTGTCTTGGGCTGGAGAGACAGTATAGGGATTAAAGTGCTTGCCTTGCATGCAACAAACTGGTTTGATCCCTAGCACCCCTTAAGTTCCCCAAAGCCCCACCAGGAATGATCCCTGAGTGCAGAGCAAGGAGTAAGCACCGAGCATTGCTGGGTGTAGCTCCCAAACCCCAGACAAGCAAATAATAAAAATAAAAGCATTTTCCCTGGGCCCATAGATTATATTCCGAAAGGTAGATTATTTATGGAAAGAAGGAAAAGGAGTCAGGAAGGAAGAGAAGGTGTAAGGGAGGAAAAGAAGAGAGGCAGCCAATGGAAGTATGACTGAATAAGCAGACAAGGGAGGAGATGAATGGGTAGTGAACGGGGAGGGAGGTGGACTAATAGTCCTGCCTCTGGAGGAAATTTTTCAAATGTGTTCATAGAGAGAATATATGTTTGTAAATTGAAGATTTCCTGTTATAGGAAAAAGTCTGAAAATACCCATCAGGAGATGCATGTTCAAACAAACTGTCATTCCATGAATGCCTCTCAATGATAGAAGGGAATTAATTTTAAAAGAAAAGATTTTTTAAAAAAAATTAAAAAGCATAATTAATCTGCTATAAAAACCAGTCAAAGGCATAGGAAAAAGAGAAAGCTATAGAACAATATTTCAGGGGTTGTCTTGCACATGGCCAATCGGAATTTAATCCCTAGCACATTATAGGATCCTCTGAGTACCTCCAGGAATGTTCCCTGAGCATAAAGCCAGGAGTAAGCCCTGAGCACTGCCACGTGTGGCCCAAAAACAACAAAAACAACAACACCCCAATACCTCATAGAGATGCATAAAAAATCAATCTTTCCTTCTTCCTGTCTTTCTCTTTCTTTCTTTCTTTCTTTCTTTCTTTCTTTCTTTCTTTCTTTCTTTCTTACTTTCTCTCTCTTTCTCTCTTTCTCTTTCTCTCTTTCTTCCTTTTCTTCTTTCTTTCCTTTCTTGGACCATATCTGCTACTCCTCAGGGTTTACTTGTGGCTTTGTGCTCAGGGATCAGTCCAGTGATGAAGGGACCATATGTGCTGCTGGAGACTGAGTCTGAGTCAACAGCATGCAACTTTTGCAAGTACCGAAAGTACCATAATCCCTGAACTGTCTCGTCTGGCCACCAGATACAAAAAAATTACCAGAAACTAGTAAATAAGACTAATACACATATAAAAGGATTAGGACCAAGGACATGGTGTAAATAGCAAGTGTCAATCCCTGGTACCATATGAATCCCCAGAATTGCCCTGTGAATACTTCCCCAACCTTTACAAAAATTTATAAAAATTAAAGTATTATACACCATCTTAAGGGGGATTTATCTCATGAATGTAAGACTGGTTGAACATACAAAAATAAAATACAAAATAAAAGTTTAGGGCAAAAGTCATTGATTTTCTTTATAGATGCAGGAAAATCTTTTGAAAAAAATCAATGCTCTTCCATGATTAAAAAAATATCACCCATGAACTGGAATAGAAGAACTTCCTTAAGCTGATAAAGGGCATCTACATAATACCTCACTTCATATTTACTGGTGAGTGATAGCACAGCTGGTAGGGCATTTGCCTTGCACGTGGCCGACGAGGCTGACCTGGCTGACCCGGGTTAGATTCCTCTGTCCCTCTCGAAGAGCCTGGCAAACTACCGAGAGTATCTCACCCGCACGGCAAAGCCTGTCAAGCTACCCGTGACGTATTCGATATGCCAAACACAGTAACAACAAGTCTCACAATGGAGATGTTACTGGGCCCGCTCGAGCAAATTGATGAACAACAGGAGGACAGTGCTACAGTGCTACATATTTACTGGTAAAGTACTGAAAACTTTACCACAAAGAGCAAGACCAAGACAAGGATGTCCCCACTCATTGCTTCCAGTCAACATTGCATCAGAAACCCTAGCCAAGATAATTAGACAAATAAAAGAAATTCAATGTTGGAGTAAAGAAGTAGAATAATCTGTTTGCAGATGACATGATCTTCCACACAGCCAATCTTCTTTTGTGTATGTGTGGAGAGGGCAGTTGGGACCACATCTAATGGTGTTTAAGGGCTGTTTCTGGTTTTGAGCTCAGGGGTCACTCAGGGGACCATATATAGTGCCAGGGACTGAACTGGAGTCAATGGCATGAAAGGCAAGTGCTTTAATCCCTGTACCATCCCTCACACAGTCAATGTTAAAAAACCAACAACAAAATTACTATCTCTCTCTATTTTTCAGCACGATCAGGGTACAAGATCATTCAAAAATTAAACAATATTTTACACAATAGCAATAGACAATCCAAAAACACAATTAAGCAATTTCAGGGGCTAAAGTGCTAGTACTGAGGGTAGGGCACTTGCCTTGCAGATGGCACACTCATGTTCAATCTCCAACATCCTATATGGTCCCCTGAGCACCACTACGAGTAATTTCTGAGTGCAGAGCCAGGAGTTCAGAGCCAGGAGTAACCTGTGTGCATCACCAAATGTGACCCCCACATTTTTTTGGAGTTTGGGCACTTTTAAAACTTTTTAAAGAAATAAATTTTATTTACAATAGTATCAGAAAGAATGAAATACTGGAATACAAAGAGAGAACTCCAGGTTGGTCAGTGCATGGGAGTAGGTGGATGGAAGGTAACATGGATAGGAGGGTCTTGAGCACTTTTGTGGTAGAGTGAGGTAACTTTACACTATAAATGTCAAAAACATAAATACATTTTCTTAACAACACTAAATAACAATGACATTTTCTTAACAATATATTATAAAAATGAATAAAATTTTGAATATGCTGAGCACATGCAGGAGCCCCAAGTTTGATCCCCAACACCATATGGCCCCCCAAGCACCATTAGGAGTCACTTCCTGTCAGAGGGCCAGGTGTGGCCCATAAACACTGTCACTGTCAGTGTCCTCCCATTGTTCATCAATTTGCTCGAGAGGGCCCAGTAACGTCTCCATTGTGAGACTTGTTATTGTTTTTGGCATATCGAATACGTCATGGGTAGCTTGCCAGGCTTTGCCATGAGGGCGAGATACT